GCCCCACCTGCTAGCGTCCGTAACCAATCGAAAGGGAAGTGCAAAGTTCGGGTAGATGAGTAACGGCTTCGTCGTTAGCACCGCCTTGATACTTTCGAATGCGAACTGTTGTTCCTCCGCCCATTCCCAGTCACGGTCCTTCTTCAGCAGTCGTGTCATCGGGGCTGCATTTGAACCAAATGCCTCGATGAACTTCCGATAGTAGCCTGCAAGATGCACAAACCGTTTGACGCCAATAGCGTCAATTCGTCGCGGGAACTCCGTCACTGCCGTTATCAGTCGTTGCACAGGCCGCACGCCTTTGCTGCTCAGTTCGTGTCCGAGGTATTCGATGGATTCAGTGGCGAACATGCATTTCTTTAGCTTTAGTGTGAGTCCCGCGGTCGAGAGTCGATCCAACACCACGGCGAGTTCAACCACATGCCGCTCCACGTTACCGCGCGTAAACACTACAATGTCGTCCAAGTACACTAAGCATGAGAGCCACGTTAATCCGCGTAGCACGCCGTTCATCATGCGTTGGAATGTAGACGGGGCGTTCATCAAGCCAAAGGGCATTCTAGTGAACCGGTATAGCCCTCGTTTGGTGGTGAACGCTGTTTTGTCCTTGTCCTCCGGAGCCATGCCAATCTGCCAGTACCCCGACCTCAGGTCCAGCGTCGTAAACAGTCTTGCGCCACCCAGCGTCTCCACCGTCTCGTTGATGCGTGGCAGCGGGTAGACATCTCTCTTGTTTAGTGCGCGATAGTCAATACAAAAGCGCACTTCACCGTCCTTCTTCTTGACTAACACAACCGGGAATCCCCACGCGCCGTTGCCTTCTTCAATTACACCAGCTCCTAGAAACTTATTCACGTTGTTGCCGTCAATAGAGTCCTCCGATTGAGCCTGCCGGCGTCGCTTTAGCATGATCGGGGCCGCCTGACCCGTATCTATGTGATGCTGAACGTCTAGTGCGGTCACTGGCGGACAGTCGCCGTGATCCACCGATACTTTGCGATAGGCTCGTAGCAGCCGGATAATCAGATTCCGTGCGCCAGTCTCCTTACTGCCGATGCGTACCTTATCCTCGTTGTCGAGCGGCGTCTCATCATCACCCAACTCTTTTAGTCATGCACCCAACTTCTTGTTGTCCAGTTCGCCATTCATTGTAAGTACTTGCATGTTCTCCTCCAGCAGGATCCACGTACCAAGTTCGGCTTTGCTCGGCAGCTTCACTTTACCTCCGTGCACATTGATCGCGGGAATTGTGGCTTTCCCGTTTCTACTGCGGGTCACTGTCGTTGCCAGCATCACGGTACGTAACTTGTTGTGGGCAAAAAGATGCCTTCCTTATCGTCGGGTGCCGTCACCGACACTTCTATTGGCGTCACTGTCTGCCGCGTCAGTGGCGTACGTCGTACCAGTCGTACAGCTGCGACCTTGGCACTACCGCCGCCTTCGTCTGTCCTGAACGGTATCACTACTCGTTCCTTTCTATCCTCGTAACGCATCTCATTGCGCTCAAAGTCCATGACGGCCTTGTACTGCTGCATGAAGTCAACGCCAACTAGAAACTCGTCATTGCATCAGTCGATAATACACGCGGACACTGTCACATCTTGTCCGAACATATTTGTCATGTTGAACGTCCATACGCCCAGGACGCCCCGCAAAATTCTGCCGATACCTTCCACAACATCCACTGGTGACGCTTGTTTCGACCGTTTCCCTCGTAACATCCAGTCCGTTCCGGCCACCGAATAACGCGCGCCCGAGTCCAGCTAGACGGGTAGCCGTTCGCCTTCCACGTTCATGGTTGCCGTTGGCAGACCTTCCTCTGCCGATACACCAAGATCGTCACTAGCACCCGTCGCATCCGTATCAGTTACACTACGTTGACGCTGGACTAGCCGTAACTTGGTACGTTCACCTGTTGCAAGCTGGCCGTCTTGACGTTTGTGTTGTTGCTGTCGTCGTGCCAATTCAGCACGAAATTCGCGGCCTTGTTGCCCTCGTCGCGATCGTCTTTCTGCATCTAGTGCGGCCAATGCTTCGTCGATCTCATCACTCGTCGTTGTCGCCGCAATAGCCCGTCGCTTCACAACCTGGACCCGTTCCTGCTTCGTCCGTCGCCGTCTTGCCTTCGCCACGTTTCGCACTTTGGCGCCATCCGCTGCTGTCGTACTGGTCCCACCGATTTCCTCGTCGTCCGAACCGCACTCATGCATCCTCACCGCCGTATCCGCTTGATTTCCGCCATTGCTAGCTTCCACGCCGAGCATTCTCGCCGCCCGTGTGTCGCCTTCCCCAGTTAGTCGTACTCCGCCAAGAACTCTGAGGCTTTCGCCTTCCCTAGTCGACTGTACTCCATTACCTTTCTGACAATCTGCCCGTACGTAGCGCAGTGCAGCCATCGCTGGTCGTACCGTCATCACGTAGCGACGTGCTCGTTCCTCGTCTCTCCCCGCCAGTTCTCCACCCAGGCAGGCATCTGCTGCTGCTGCTTCTCTTGTAGTGGGGGATTGTTCACTACCCACAGTCGTTGGCCAACTGCCTCGCGTCGTTACCGTCTCTACATCACTCGGCGCCACTTTCTGGGGAATAGGCTCATCTTCCGGACGCAGTGACCCCCTCACTACGCCCATCCATCGTTTCCCGTAGCTGAAGTTGATTGCACCGTGCGGGTAGCCAGATACGCGTCGTTACGTGCTTTGGCCTCAGGGTCTGGGCACTCCTCCGCAAAATGACCAGACTTGCCGCACGCATAGCACCTGTTGTCCGTTATCGGCCACCTGTTTGCCCTTGCTTCTACCGTACGCATCTGGGGTTCGTCCTTTGCTGAATGAGTCGGCGCCTTGGTTTTTCTTTTCGCCGCCTTCCGTTTCTTCGCCTTCGGCTGGGGTAGTTCTCCGTCCGAGTCCGACTCTTCGCTTGAATCAGCCATCGACTGCACTATCCTCACCTTTCCTCGCTTTTCGCTGCTTCCGCGCTTACCGCCGTGGTACGAGCCGCTCTGTCTCGTTTTCTGGTTCTTCTTAGTAGGTTTACAGAATCGTCCGTTCCAGGAGCGACCGTCTGGGACGTCCCATAACCCCGTAAACTTGTTATAAACGCCTCGTGGATTCGTGAAGTACGCCACTTCGTTGTTTTCCGTTCCTGTTTGCGTCGCCATCGCATCAACAGCCGATCCTACACCCGGAATGATCGCTACCCTTCCAGTCGTGCCGTCCATGGGTACAGTGTACGCGTTTGGTGCCGTCGCCCATGACTGACCGATATTCACCATACCGCGGGCTACGTTGTCGATCGGGTCGTCTATTGCCGTGGTCTTATCCACAGCCTGTTCCAGTGTTGTCGGTACCGGTTCTTGTTTTACTAGATTCGGGTCGTCTTATCCAAATTCCGGTAGAACTGGCCGAGCAGTGTCTGTTCGCTGACGTGATTCGAGCCCGTGACGTCTCGTAATCCAGCCGCAAAGTCGGCAAATGTCTCGCCGGGGACATCATCCTTTGATACACTCTCCATTCGGTCATCACTGGGTCCGGTCGCTCACCGTATCTCCGCATCCGTGCTTCCTTCCGACGTGTTCATGTCTTCTCGCTCTCTGACAGTTCTTGATCCATCTGTACCCATCAACTCGCCGCATTATCCTGCAACTTGTTGCCTACGATGAAGTACAGCACTTTGTCCGTCCAATCTCCTCGTCCGGAGATACGAGCACCTTGCACGGCTAGGTCAACTTTGGCGATCCACGTGGAGACCGACACCGTGGGCGAGGGCTTGTACGCCGCAAGTTCCAAGTCCTTCGTTTTCTTGCGTCGTTGTCTGTGTCGTACTCTTCGTGACCGGTTAGCTGTGCTTGCTCGTCGACCGCGTCGTCTCCTGCGTCGTCTTTCGCCGCCACGACCCCGAGAGCTGTCGCTACCGCTGTCGTCGCCGTTGCTATCACTATAACTGCTGTCGCTGCTACCATCGCCACTACTGTCTGAAGGTGGTCGTCGCACTGCTCCTGCTCCTCGTCCGTCGTTGACTGCAACTCGAGCTCCATGCGTTGCCATTGGTACTGCTGCCGGTGCGGGTTGCGCTTGTGGCTGCACTACAGGCGCTGGGGCCACTCGTTGTTCCGCCAGGCCCATCGCTTCTGGTTGTTGTGGTCTCGGTGCCACAGCAACTTGTGAGGTTGTCACCGGTGGTACTACCGGTGCGGTCCTCGTGGTCTCCATCGCTCCCACGCGGGCTTCCAGTCTCGTCATTGTAGTCATCATGTGGTGGATGGCTGTCAGCAATACCGATGCGTTCGCTGTCGCTCCATCTTCCTCGGTGCTCGTCGTGCTCGCCGCGAGTCCGCCACCCGCTACTGCTGTCAAGCTAACTGCGTCAGACCTTCCAGCTCCCTCTGACGTCGAGGCTGCAAATATCGTCAGTACTGTCGTTTCTGTTCCACTGCCCGTGTACACGTCTGTCGCTGGGTCCGAAGCAGGTTGCCGACCTGGTGCTACTGGCTGCTGTGCAGTCGCCATCGTTGGTGGCTGTGCCGGTTGTCGTGCTGGTGTCTCCTCGTTCATTACAGGATCCTGTGAGATCGTCGTTTCCATCGTCGTCGTGTCCTGCTGTGCTTGTCCCGACGGCTGCATCGAGCGTGTCACCACTCCCGTAGTTATTGTCGGCACCATGATCCTTTTCGTCCTTGCCATACGTTGGGTCGTAACCGTACTCCCAATATAAACCGTATTCGTGTAACTTTATAGCCGATCTTAGTTCAGTACAACGCCCCTGTATGACCACCATGTAACGTGTCTTGGCTCCCCTGCACGCCGGGGTTGGTCGCCCAGTGCTGATGGCGCCCAAGATCCAAATGGCCGACGATGAACAACTCTGTTCACCGCGCCGGCGTGTGATCCACTGATCGCACACCTACTTTATTACTGTCCGTTTACAACCCAAATACAGATAGCGTCCTCTACGAAATGAATTCGAACCCGCCGCAGTTCAGTAAGTTTCCAGCGTCGTCCACTTAGTCACTTGGGCTCATCACGCACTTCAGACGCCGCCCTACTACGCAACCGTCAGCAGACTTGGGAGCGTTCCCCCTGTCTGTACTCCTCGCGACTGTCCTTGGTTCTCGTCCACCGAGGCGCTACCCGTTCGTCCGTCCGTCCGTTTGCGCACTACTACTCGCTCCACTGAGCTCGAGCAGCACACCGTCCAATCCGTATCCGTGGCTCGCAGTCTCCAATGCGAAGCCGTACGCGTCTTAGGCCGTCAATCTCCGAGTGAGATCGTCACCACCAATTTCAAAGGGAGGCCGACAACGCCAATTCCAAACTGCTGCCGCCGCCGCTAATCTCAAAGTGCCGACACCACTAATCTCCGAGTGATGCCTACACCGCTAATTCTAAACTGTTGCCGTCTCTGGCCTTCTCTCATCCGGGTGCTCGCCGTATCTTTTGAATTCGGATACGGGAGGCACGTACCTACCGTCCTTCAATACCGTCAGCAGCCAGATGCCACACTTCGTCAGTACCGTCCGTTCCTGGCAGCTTCTGCGCTCTGCCTGATCACCGTTTCGTTTTCCGCCCATCCTATCGTACTCGTCAAACGAGTCACCGTACTCGTCACGTCCGCTCCATCGTACACGTCCGCATCATCGTTCACGTCGGCATCATCATTCGCCGTGAACGAGCCGTCATACTCGGTCGCGTCACCGAACTCGTCCGTATCATACTTGTTACAGCTCCACGTCGCTCATGATTGGAGAATCTTGAGGTACTCGTCGCACTGAGGGGTACATCCTGTACACGTCCTCTGACAGAGTATGATTGTGTTTGTAAAAGGATTGCTTGATTTCGAAACGCCACTCTCCATCGGCGAGCTGAACGTATTGGGCATGAAATCGCATTGGGCATCCCACACTCTTCAATGTTTGTCGAGGTCTGATGCCTTTAGAACGAACGCGCTCTTTCCAGCCGTGTGTGCAAATGTACACACGCTGGTACGAGTCCAGATTTTCTGGGACAAGCGGTAACTCAGCCTTCGGTTTGCCAATGTGTTTTTTTCATCTTCGCTATCTTTAGGTTTCGCAGCCGCACATTTTGTGTCTCCAAAGTTACCAGCACGGAATGAGCATCCTGTTGATACTGCGTCAACCATTTCTCCAGATGCTTCTAGCTTTTGTAGTACTTTCGTAGCGGAAGAGCGTAGTACAATTCATCATCACTCTCGGCGTGGTCCCGCTTGCGACTTCCACTCGAGCCAGCATCACTACACTTCTCGACCCCACTGTAATTTGCAGTCGGCTGCTCACAGGCAGCCTGGATTCCCGAATCCAAATTCACATTACTATCAGCCAGTTGGGTGCTAGTTTCCATCTCTTCTGTATTTAGGTCATGTAAAATGCCCAAAATACAGAAGAGCCTGGAGAGACTGACCCTCAAGCCCAGTTGAGCTCACAACAGAACTACCAGTATACGGAAGCCGATCGTTCCCACTAGAATCTCCAACATCACTGCTGCTGCTACTGGTGGTTGCCTCTTTTTCAAGCGCTCGCAAACCCTTCGCAGTGTTCTTGGTACGAACCATGACTAAATCATGTACAAAAGCATAATAAAAACAAATTTTAGAAAAAAAGCAAATTTACCGCCATTCCGACATTGCGTGTGTATGTACGACCGTTGTAGCACTTGCCACTTGCAGCCGTTGTGTCTTCAACACGAAACGCTATTTAATAACTCGAATCCTTCTCTGAGACATAGTCATCGTCAAAACATGGTCCTTTCGTACTGCACAGCATACATGTAGTAACTGCACGTATACTCGAATCTTACCCATTACTCGTATGAGATACAATCTTAAAGATCACGGACGTAGTGGATAAGCCGTTGGGTAGCGGCGGGAGGAATGAACTACACTGCCACAGCTGGAAAAGCTGGAAAAGCAAACAAACGACACGTTAGATGCGATATAAGCCTTGGAGAATCCGAACAGCGCACGTACCGGTAGCCACACTGTGGGGGAGAAGGGGGGAGCGTATTCAAACTGTCGCGGGCAGGTCAGTGAGCTTAGTTGCCTTGAGAGAGCCGAAGGGGAGCGGCGAGCTTCTCGTCACACGCGGCGGAAAGTTGAGTGGCCACAAACACAAATCAGTTATTTAAAAATCCGAATATATTTTATTTTACAAACATGGCCAATCATGGTTAAAACCAGCGAAAAACATACTGAGAAAAACATGGACTCGAGATTTTGCGCTTTTACTTTTTGCTAGATTAAAAGAAACAATCAAAACAAGAGAAGGTTGCTTTGAACGGCCCTTAACTGGCATTTTACCTGTACACAGTGATTGAATACTACCGGTACGTTCAAGTACCTATTTTGTTAGATAGAAGTGAACCTCCCGACGGCTTCATGCATCCATCTGCCTTACATTCAATACAGTATAGATGTATCTTACCTCTCTAGTGGAGTCTGGTCTGCGTCCGTCATTCCGTTCGCGGCTAGGGTTAATTCATGTAACGCAAATGCGGGCGTTCTACTGGCTGCCGAGCGCAGCGAAGGCGGCCTCAATTGGCTAAAATTGCAATATGTGGTGGACACATTATATGTGGTCTACACATCGTACTTAAAATGCACAGTTCAAAAATCATTTTGCCCCATTTTCAACTGTGGGCCGCCACCTCATGCGAAGGGCGCTTCCTGTGTACGCGTTAGTTAGCATAATTAAATAGCGCCGATGAGCACACACGTACAATATCGTCGTAGGAGCCGCTGCAAATTTTTGTAGGCCCTGGTGACTTATATTTCGGCCTCAATCGAAACTTTAGTACTTATTGGATATAGAATGATGTTTTAGGCTTCGTAGTACTTTTCTAATGAGTTTAATTTCAATACTGTTTTGCGTAGTACTATTTTAAATACAATATATTTTTACTTGCAGTTATTTGTAGTAGTAGTACACATAATTGCTATATCATCGTTTGATAATAAATAACAAATATATTACTATAAATAATAATGTGAAAACTTTAAATACGACTATTGTGGCTTGCCTCCGGGAAAAAGTGTCACCTTCCTTTGTATTTGCGCACGTAGTGTGCGACCTGAAGATATTGTGCGAGTTTTCCAACAATATATGTAGCGTACATCAAACGAAATGCAAAAACAGCGTTTGTGATTAAGTTAGCGCGGAGGCTAAGCAAGAACACAAAACGCGAAGGAACACCGACCCACACTATGTAGACGATGGGATAAAAGAGCAACACGAAGCACGGAAGGCCATGGACAACGATAGAAGTCTTAGCCGATGCAAACCACGAAGTTGTATGCGTAGCGTGAAAGACGGAAGTGCACGCAGCTATGAAAAGGACAGAGGGACAAGAATATGACGGAAGCGTACAGACCACGGAAGTGAAATAGATATACAGACACCCCAGCATGCTAAAAAGGGTGGCTACGGAAGAGTACGCACGTAGCGGTAAGAGTGCATGGACAGCAACTCTCCCATAGCACCACGGAGTGCACGGAGTACGGTCGCCGGACCAGGCATGAAGCGGCGGGAATCCGAAAACGGGAAGTCATCGAGCATTAGAGCACGTTATCAGGGTAGAACCGGATCTCACCAAGCCAGGGAGCACGATACTACGGTACCTAACAATCACACGGACGACAGACCAGCCGCGACACCACAAGCTAGCACGATTGCATGGGCAGTGCCACTAAGCCATGGGAGAACGCAGCCGCAGAGCTATAGACGTAAAATCACCGTGCCGCGGAGAACGATACCAGTGTTGAACCTGAGCTTACCGAGCCACGGAGGACAGTACTACATTAGAACTAGATTGCACGAACGGCGGGCCAGCCACGAAAAAAACGGGGAGGTGGGCGCTTGGGGTGACCACGACTGCACACCGTGGAGCACGATGCCATTGTAGAACACGATAACACGGGCAACGCAGATGCACTACGCGAGCACAATACCATAGACAGCATTACCACACCGTGATTGCACGATAGCGTGATTCCGCGGTCGATGACACTTCATCACGAGATCACGATGCACGGGCGACGGAACCACGACTGCATGGAGGCACCAAAGCACGGAATAGCACCCTTTGGTTAGAGCACCGGCGATGGAAGGCCAATGGTAACGAAATAGTATCTACCACGAAGCCAGTGCAACCCACGTAAACGTTTGAGAACGGAAAACAGTTAGCTTTAACGAAAAGACCGTACTAAAGAGCATGAACCCACAAGAGAGAGGACAGAACCGCTGAGCAGCGTGGGCCATGGGTGAGCAGGAACCTCGAAGCCGGGAAGAGCACGAAAGAGCATGGGCCATTGAAGAAAACAACACCCAACCTGTAGTACGGGGTAACGGAAACGTTCCAAACCACGATATTATACGGGGCCGAATGAGACTACGGAAGGCAAGTGGTTAAATACACGATGTCAAGATCTACGGGGTGAACCACGCTCTCTAAACACGCGACACCAAGAAGCACTTAAATTTGCGGCCACCTCATCTACAACAAACCATGCCACTCCGCCGCGTAGCGGCGGCGAACGGCTAGTCTACCCCATCTAGTGGAGTGTGTTGTCTGTCCGTCCGTCAGTCCGTCCGTAACGGGCTAGGGTTAATAATCCTCACGCTAATACGCGCGTTCTACTGGCTGCCGAGCGCAGCGAAGGCGGCGTCGATTGGCTAGAATCGAATTATGTGGTGCACACACTGTATGTGGTCAACACATCGTACTTAAAATGTACCGCTCAAATTATATTTTGCCTTTATTTCAGCTGCGGTATGCAAGGCCACGCGAAGGGCGCTGTGTGTGTGCGAGTTAGTTAGCATAATTAAATAGCGCCGATGAGCACACACGTTCTCTATCGTCGTAGGTGCTGTTGATAAAATTTGTAGGCTTCGGTGACTCATACTTCGGCCTCAATCAAAACATTAGTACTTATTGGTTTAAATATGATTTGATTTGCTTCGTAGTAGGTTTGTAATAATTTAACTTACAGTACTGTTTTGCGTAGTACTATTCTTAAGACATTTCATATTTTTGCCTGCAGTTATTTGTAGTAGTAGTCCACATAATTATTATGTTAACGTTTATAATAAATCACACTTCTACTACTACTATTAATAATTGATACTTTAGGATGTGAAAACTTTAAAATATGACTATTATGACTTCCCACCCGACACCCCCCTGCACCCCACACTGCCCCCGGGAAAAGTATCATCTTCCTCTGTATTTGCACACGACCTTAAGATATTGTGTGATCTTTCCAACAATATATGTTGTGTACATCAAACAAAATCGGAACAGCGTTTGTGTTCAAGTTTGCGCGGAGGCACGCGACTCAGCAAGAACACGAAAAACGATGGGATAGAAGAGCAACACGAAGCACGGAACGTCATGGACGATGATAGAAGATTTAGCCGATGCAAACCACGAAGTGTTTTACGTAGCGTGAAAGATGGAAGTGCACGCAGCCATGGAAAGAACAGAAGAACGAGAATATGACGGGAGCGTACGGGCCACGGAAGGGAACTAAATACATAGACACCCCAGCATGCTGAAATGCACGGCTACGGAAGAGCACGCTACTTTGAAGCCACTGTAGAGCACGTAGCGGTAAGAGTGCACGGAAAGTAATTCTCCCATAGCACCACGGTACAACACGGAGCACAGTCGACCGACCAAACGTGAAAACGCGATGTACCATAAACGGAAGATCATCCGAGCATTGGAGCCCGATATTAGGGTAGAATCGGAGCTCACCGAGTCCGACAGCACGACACTACGGTAGCTAACGATCTCACGGACGACAGACCAACCGCAACATCGCAAGCTAACACGATAGCATGGACTGTGCCACTAAGCCATAGGGGAGCACAGCCACAGGAGCTATAGACGGGAGATCTTTGAGCCACGGAGCACGATACCAGCGTAGAAGCTCAGCTCCCCGAGCCACGGAGGACAGTAGCACATTAAAACTCGATTGCACGGACGGCAGACCAGCTACGAAAATCACGGGGGTGCTTGGGGTGACCACGATTGCACACCGTGGAGCACGAAGCCCATGTAGAGCACGATAACACGGGCAACGCAGATGCACTACGCGAGCACAATACCATAAATACCACTACCACACCGCGATTGCTCCATAGCGTCGTAACGCGGTCGATGGAATCTTACCAGGAGAGCGCGATACACGGGCGACGGAACAACACGACTGCGTGGAGGCACCAAACCACGGATTAGGACCCTTCAGGTAGAGTACTTTGATGGGAAACCAACGACCACAAAAGACTATGAACCACGAAACCAGTGCAGCCCCCGTAAACGTTTGAGATCAGGAAATAGTTAGCATCCACGAAAGAGGGTCATACTACTGAAGAGCATGGGCCCAAGAGAGAGGGTCCATAATTACCAAGCATCATGGACCACGGGTGAGCAGGAAACCACGATGCCGGGAAGATCACATAAGATCGCAGGCCATTGAAGAACATGACTACAACCTGTAGTACGGATAACCGAAATGTACCAAACCACGATATTATACGGGGCCGAATGAGACTACGGAAAGGCAAGTGGTTAAATACACGATGCCAAGATCTACGGGGTGAGCCACGCTCTCAAAACACGCGACACCAAGAAGCAATAAAGTTCCGGCCACCTCATCTCCAACAAACCATGCCACTCCGCCGCGTAGCGGCGGCGAACGGCTAGTCTACCCCATCTAGTGGAGTGTGTTGTCTGTCCGTCTGTCTGTCACGGGCTAGGGTTAATTAATGTAACGCAAATACGCGCGTTCTACTGGCTGCCGAGCGCAGCGAAGGCGGCGTCGATTCGCAAAAAAGCTGTCAAGCGCAGCGAAGGCGGCCCCAATTGGCTAAAATCAACATTACGTTTTGTACACACTGTATGTGGACTACACATCGTACTTAAAACCACCGTTTAAATTTCATTTTGCCTTCATTTCTAGCTGCGGAGCGCCTCACGCAAAGGGCGCTGTGTGTGTGCGAGTTAGTTAGCATAATTAAATAGCGCCGATGAGCACACACGTTCTCTATCGTCGTAGGTGCTGTTGATAAAATTTGTAGGCTTCGCTGACTCATACTTCGGCCTCAATCAAAACATTAGTACTTATTGGTTTAAATATGATTTGATTTGCTTCGTAGTAGGTTTGTAATAATTTAACTTACAGTACTGTTTTGCGTAGTACTATTCTTAAGACATTTCATATTTTTGCTTGCAGTTATTTGTAGTAGTAGTCCACATAATTATTATGTTAACATTTATAATAAATCACACTTCTACTACTACTATTAATAATTGATACTTTAGGATGTGAAAACTTTAAAATATGACTATTATGACTTCCCACCCGACACCCCCCTGCACCTCACACTGCCCCCGGGAAAAGTATCATCTTCCTCTGTATTTGCACACGACCTTAAGATATTGTGTGAACTTTCCAGCACTATATGCTATGTACATTAAACAAAATCGGAACAGCGTTTGTGATTCAGCTAGCGCGGAGGCACGTGACTCAGCAAGAACACGAAACACGAAAGAACACCGACCCACACTATGTAGACGACGAGATAGAAGAGCAACACGAAGCACGTTAGGCCATGGACGACGATAGACTTCTTAGCCGATGCAAACGACGAAGTTTTATGCGTAGCGTGAAAGGCGGAAGTGCACGCAGCTATGAAAAGGACAGAGGGACAAAAATATGACGGGAGCGTACGGACCACGGAGAGGAACTAAATACATAAACACCCCAGCATGCTGAAAAGCACGGGCCACGGAAGAGCACGCACGTTCGAAGCCACGGTAGAACACGTACCGGTGAGAATGCACAGAAACAATTCTCCAGCAACACCACGGGTAAACATGGAGCACAGTCAGCCGACCAAACCTGAGCCCACAGTAAGCCAGATACGGAAAATCAGAAATCATCAGTCTTGGGAGCACGATGCCTACGTAGAAACTGAGCTCACCGATCCACGGAGCGCGACACTACGGTAGCTAACGATAACACAGACGACAACCCATCCCCGACACCAGAGATAACACGTCAGCATGGACGCTGGGTTACTCACTAAAGTATCGGAGAACACGCTGCCACACGAAATCACCGAGTCACGGAGCACCATACCAGTGTAGAACCTGAGCTTACCGAGCCACGGAGGACAGCAGTACATGATAACACGATTGCACGGACTGTGGACCGCCTACCAAATACACAGGGGGTGGGCTTGGTATGACCACGATTACACACCGTGGAGCACGATGGCATCGTAGAGCACGATAACACGGACAACGCAGATGCACTACACGTGCACAATACCATAGACAGCATAACCACACCGCGATTGCACGATAGCGTGATAATGCGGTCGATGACACTTCATCAGGAGATCACGATGCACGGGCGACGGAACCACACGACTGCATGAATGCACCAAAGCACGGAATAGCACCCTTTGGTTAGAGTACCGGTGATGGGAGGCCAACGGCCACGAATGCCTATGTATCACGAAAGCGGTACAGCCCGCGTAAATGTTTGAGAACAGGGAATAGTTAGGAGCCACGAAAGAGGCCGTACTAAAGTGCATGAGCTCAAAAGAGAGCGCATATCCACAAACAGCGTGAACCACGGGTGAACAGAGAACCACGAAACCAAGAAGAACACGGAAGAGCACAGGCCATTGAAGAACACGACATTCAGCCTGTAGTACGGGGTAACGGAAACGTATCAAACCACGATATTGTACAAAGCCACATGAGATTACGGACAGTTAAGTGGTTGGCTACACGAAGCCACGACGTACTAGGTTGAACGACGCCCATAAAACACGCGACACGAAGAAGCACTTAATTTGCGGCCACCTCATCTCCAACCAGCCATGCCACTCCGCCGCGTAGCGGCGGCGAACGGCTAGTCTTAAACATCTACTGCAGCAACCTGTCTGTCCGTCACACTAAATTGTCGTGCCCGTCACGCTTTTCCGGACAAATCATTGGATAAAATAATTTAAATATTTCTACTGGCTGCCGAGCGCAGCGAAGGTGGCCTTAATTGGTTAAAACTAGAATGTGTAGTTGACATCAATAAATGCATGTGTTTCCCAGTTTACATATGGGGATTTGCACAAAGCTAATACATTATCCGAAGGCGGCATCGTTTTAATATTTTATACTTTTTCATAATGCATTGATATTTGAGTACTAAACGGAGGGCAGGGTGCTTAGCGTACACGTAAGCATGCGTGTTTCCGAGGACATGGTTTAAGTATACTAAATACTCTGTACTCAGTAGGATCTGCGAGTTACACTGACTAAAATGATAATTTCAATTTTTTTATTGTAAAGATATTAACATTATTAATAATAAGTTATCTGAGTGGGTTTCTGGTATTGCTAAATCGTACATGTTACATGTACAGCAGTAGCCGGTCGTGTGGGCTTGCCGTAAGAACAAAGCTGTGCTTATAAACGTTGTCACTAGATCCACAAAGATAGATAGTTTAGATTGACGTGGAAAAGAAGTAATATGTGCTGATGACAATTACTACTGTATTGTTTCCTAAGCGTTTATTTAGACAACAAAATTCTGATACTTCTTAATAGGCAGACGCGTTGCCGACAAGGCGTAGAATAAGGTTTTACATGCAGCGGTAAGATAACAACACAACATGAGAGGTGTAAATTATGGTTATTATAAGTAGGCCCGTAAAGAAACGTTAATCAACTTAGAGCCTAATCTACGTTTAACCATCCTGGAATCATCGTTTAAGTATCAAATAAGTCAACAAAAGGCGTCGTGCGACGCATCGTTATATCCAAAGGCTACAGTATAACCATAACAGGCACAGATTGGAGTGTCTAATGACTAATTCTGAATCCGCACAAAATGAACACACTTCAATGCATAAGAAAATGCTACAGCCTGAATATTTTTATTAAATATTCAAACTGTTACACTTTTAATTTTCTTTCAAAGTAGCGAGTTTGGTATGCGAAGTGGTTAATAGTCAGTTTATTACAAGCTTAACCAGGCAGTACAAGCGGGTATTTGATGCAAGCTGGACAGATATTCTTTGCATTGTTGCAATCTAGGTTTCAGAAACGGCCCGTGAAATCGATCACGACGCTAAACTAAATATATTTATTTAGCGTTTTTAGACTGAAGTGCAGGTGCTTCTGGGTGGAAGAATTAAGGTACAGTGATCGCCAACAACAACAAAGAGACTTTGCCAAGATCACTAGCGTAATCGTTTATGAGCATGGTAAGTATGATGCTAGGGTCTCAGTCTTTTGTACCGGTAGAAATATTTACACGGCTTACTGGGAGCTCAGCAATTTGTAGCAAAAGAAACGCAGATTTATGAAATTAAAGAAGTCGATTTAGGCACATGGGGGACTCAGAGGATTTGGACTAATTATCCCGCCAAAGCGAAGCGAAGGCGGGAAGGCAAAAATCTAGAGTAAAACCTAAATTACCGCCGCGTAGCGGCGGCGCTCGGCTAGTACGTCCTGCATCAAATACAGTGTACATGTTGCAAAAGCTTGGCTATCGATTCAACGCTTCAATTACTTGCAGGACGATCAGACTCTGTCGTCTTACGTTCTAATGTCCGCGCAAGAAGGGCCAATGCACGCGTCATTGCTTCACGCTCGCTCGTGCGTGAGGACTTTGTCTGCATGCTTAATACGGCACGCATCTCCGACTCCTTACTATCAGGCTCCAGCTCAATGAAGGCAGCCTCAGGGTAAATGCCTCGTATCACCTCTTCAACCTCCTGGACTTCCTTCTCCACCAGACGGGTTACATCCTCAGCGTACCAGGCCAGGATGAGTGGCAGATCATTTTCCAAATCTTTCGTTTCTAAGAAGACAGGCTTGTACCTGTCCAGTCATGCAGAACGTAGCACTATCAGTGCCAAGGGCATGACTAGGATAACTACATCAAGATGCGTACATTCGAAGTAGTTTCGCCGCCAGGTACGTCCCGTCAAAGTCGACCTCAGCCTGAAACATTCAACAACCACATGAGTCAGAATCATAGCGCAGGACGAGGGACTCAGAGCTGACTACATAGCTGTCGTGCAATACCTTGTAGCTAAACGTCGACGGACCAACCCACTGCGACTGGACAGCATACACATTGTCAATGGACGGACGCGCCAGTAACAACTCACGAATGCCTTTCTCAATCTCGGGCTCCACTGACTGGCCCAATAAATACTTCTGGTTCAGTCGAATGAGCGACACGGCGACGCCGCCGAGAAGCACACCGATAGAAATACTGGCAAGGCTATCCCACAACGGGTTGCCTGTAATATGACTAGCTCCGATGCCACATCCAGCCATGAGAACGCCAGTACAGGCCGCCATGTCCTCGAGCAACACAGCCATCATAAACGGGTCTTTCGTCCGCTTCACGTGCTGGTAAAACGACATATTGTCGGGCTTGGAGGCTAACAAATCCTGCACTGACCGCTTCAACACCCAGCCATCAATACTGAAAGAAGCTGCGAGCACACACCAGATCTCCCACGACAGGCAAAGCTCTTTCGGGGGCTCCAAAATGGACTGGATACCATGGAATACAGTCACTCCGGAGCCCAACCAGAAGATTCCCAGCGCTGAAATGAGTGACCAAAAGTACGCAGCACGCCCATATCCGTACTGATGTTTCTTGTCCGGCACACCCGATGCCTGTTTCAAGCCCAAAATGAGGATGGCCTGGTTACCAGTGTCCACGAGGGAGTGAATTGCCTCCGAGAGCATTGCACTCGATCCAGTCTTGAGCCACGCCAGTACCTTGAGCGTTGTGATGGCTGTATTACCTGCCATAGCTCGGAACACCACGTCACGCGACGTGGAGCGGTACACTTTACCCGGAAAGTAGGCTTTGTTAATATCCGTACGCGGCTTGGGAGTGGGGTACGTGGGCTCTGCGATCTTCGTCAAAAACGGCTCGTCATCTTCGTCTTCACCGTCGCTCTGCTTCTTGCCATCAACTTCCACTTGTTTTTTCTTAGTTGCTGCCAGGTCCTTCGCATTGGGCACTGCCGTTGCCATACACCTAAACGAAGGTGGGTGACTTAGAAAAAGCCGCTCGCGGCTTCGGAAGGGCGGCAGTATCGCAGGCAGGGGAGAGCGACGACGTAGAGGTGCACATGGAAGGCCTCTCAAGGTCTGGGTCTGCTGTAGTGACGGACGCACCGCGCGCAGAGAGCCCAGCATGGTAACTGCCAGTGATGTACCACACCCAAATCTCGTATTTCACCCGCTTATTTCCGAAAACATTCTCACAAATATCATTTAATATTCTTGATAGTAACTAGCCGAGCGCCGCCGCTACGCGGCGGTAAATTAGGTTTGGTTCTACACGTTTTGGCATTCCCGCCTACGCGGGATAACTATTGAAAAAACGCTGAACCCATGTGTACCTAAATCGTTTTTTTTTTAATTTTTTAATTTGGGTCAGCATTATGCTTACCAGATTTAATAATAAATATTCTAATGATCTTATATCAAGATTCTTGATGCAATCTCTTTTTTATTGCTGGCTATCACTGTATCTTCATCCTCCATCCAGAACCACCAGCACTTCAAATAACATTTATACAAACGCTACACAATACGTTTAGTTTAGCGTCATCAGCGCAAACGATAGTAATGGCCTGTCCAGCTTGCACTACTTATTAACACCTGGCTGCACTGCCTATTTCAGCTTGTACGTAACTAAAGATTGCTCACTTCTCATATCAAACTCAATGAAAGCTACAACAATAAAATATAATTAATTTTAATGTATGTGGCGTTCATTTTTTGCTGATTCAGAATTAGCACTCGAATCTGTGCCAGTTATGATTGAAGCACTTGGATATTGTGTCGCAAGACGCCTTGCTGCTGCTGCTGTTGACGGTAGTGTTTTCTATTTGATAATTTAACGATGATTCCAGGATTATTGGACGTCATTTAGGCTCCAAGTTTATTAACGCTTTTTATGGTGTCTACTTAGCCAACTATAATTAACACCTCTCGTGTTTTGTTGTTGTATTGGCGCTCCATTTATACGGGTATCCTACGCCCCTGTCGGCGACCCGTCCGCCAGCTAAGTAGTATCGGATTTTGCTGCCTAACAACTCTTAGAAAACAATGGCTTACAGCAGTCTCTTAGAAAACAATGGCTACAGCAGCAAGACATATGAGCTCATTCTATTCAATCTAAAACTATGTATCTTTATGGATCAGGTGACAACGTTTATTGGCACATCGTTGTTTTTACGGCCAGCTTCTGTTGTACGTGTACTACTATTTGGCAGCTCAATCAGTTACCTCACACTCAGATATGTTCTTAATATTTCTACAACAAAACATTTGTAGCTATTATTTTAGTCATTGTAACTTGCAGAAACTATTAGGAACATAGTATTACGTATATTATAGTATGGCCTCGAAAACACGCATTCCTACGTGTACGCTAAGCACCTTGCAGCATAGGAAGCGTCTTTAGGGGCTATTTCATGTAGCACTCAAATATTAATAGCAACATCCCATATTAAAATAGTACAAATTAAAACTTCGTAGTATTTAAACCCATCGGATAATGGATAGCCTGGTGCAAATCTCCATATGTGCTCTGTGAACCACATGAATTTACTGATGTAAGGTACATAATTCCGTTTTAACTAATTGAAGCCGCCTTCACTCCGCTCGGCAGCCAATGGGAAGGCTCAAAAATCTGAGCGTTTCGTGTGACGGACGGACGGACACCGTGCTACCCTTGATAGTTTAGGACTAGCCGTTCGCCGCCGCTACGCGGCGGAGTGGCATGGTTTGTTGGAGATGCGTTAACCTCAAATTTAAGTACTTCTTGGTGTCGCGTACTTTGTTAGCCTCGTTCACCTCAGTAGGTCTTGGCTTCGTGTACTTAACCACTTACCATTCCGTAGCCTCACGTGGACCCGTATAATATCGTTGTTTGGTACGCTTCCGTTACCCCGTACTACAGGTTGGATGTCATGCTCTACAGTGGCCGTCGCTCTTCCGTGATCTTCCTGGCTTCGTGGTTCCCTGTTCACCCGTGGTACACGCTGCTTAGGGATCCTCCTGGATTTGTGAACTCATTCTCTCATAGTGCTTAGTGGCTGTGTGCTAGCTCCTTTGGTCTCATGCGCTCCCGTAGTACGACCCTCTTTCGTGGCTGCTAGATATTCCGTGTTCTCAAGGATTTACGTGGATTCCACAAGCTTCGTGTCCATAATCATTCATGGTCGATAGCGTTTTGTTTCTGGTACCCTCGCCAATGAGTGATCTTCCGAAGTTTTCTGTCATCAATCCACCGCATTATCGCGCTACCGTGCAATCGCAATGTGGTTATGCTGTCCTATGCTATCGTGCTCGCGTAGTGTATCTGCGTTGTCCGTGTTATCGTGTTCTACAATGGTATCGTGCTCCGCGGTGTGCAATCGTGGTATCCCGAATCGTTCCCCTGTGACTTCGTGCCTGGCCCGCCGTCCGTGCAATCCAGTTCTAATGTACTACTGTCCTCCGCGGCTCAGGGATATCAGGATCTACACTCGTATCGCTCTCCGCGGCTCGGTGATTTCCGTCTATAATTCCGCGGCTGCGTTCTCCCATGGCTTAGTGACACAGGCCATGCTATCGTGCTAACTTGTAGTGTCGCGGTTGGTCTTTCGTCAATGCGATCGTTAGCTACCGTAGTATCGTGCTGTGAGACGCGGTGAGCTCCGGTTCTACCCTAATATCGTGTCCCAATACTCGGTAATATCCCGCTTATGGTCTCCCGCGGGTTCATGTTTGGTCTGTTGACTGTACTCCATGTTTAACCGTGGTGTTGTTGGAGAATTGTTTCGGTTCACTCTCACTGTTACGTGCTCTACCGTGGCTTCGAACGTGCGTGCTCATCCGTAGCTGTGCTTTTCAGCATACTGGGGTGTCTATATATTAGCTCCCTTCCGTGGCCCGTACGCTCCCGTCATATTCTTGTCCTTCTGTCCTTTTCATGGATATGTGCCCTATCGTCTTTCGCGCTACGCATACAACTTTGTGGTTTGCATCGGCTAAGTCTTCTATCATCGTCCATGACCTTCCGTGCTTCGTGTTGCTCTTCTATCCTATCGTCTACATAGTGTGGGTCGGTGTTCTTTCGTGTTTCGTGTTCTTGCTGAGTCACGTGCCTCCGCGCCAGCTGAATCACAAACGCTGTTCCGATTTTGTTTGATGTACATAGCATATATTGCTGGAAAGCTCACACAATATGTTAAGGTCGCACACTACGTGCAAAAATACAGAGGAAGATGATACTTTTCCCCGGAGGCAGTGTGGAGTGCAGGGGTGTAAGCCACAATAGTCATATTTTAAGTTTTTCACAATATTATTAATAGTTATACAATTGTTATTTATTATTAAACGCTGATATAATTATTATGTGTACTACTACTACAAATGACTGCATGCAAAAATATGAAATGCCTTGATAATAGTACTAAGAAAAGTAATATTGTAAGTTAAATTAGTACAGCAGTACTACGAAGCCTCAAACATCATTCTATATCCAATAAGTACTAAGGTTTCGATTGAGGCCGAAATATAAGTCACCAGGGCTACAATTTTTTTCAGCAGCTCTTACGACGATATAGTACGTGTGTGCACATTGGCGCCTTCTTTCAATGCTAATTAACGCACATAGAGGCAGCGCCCTTTGCGTCGAGAGGCGCTCCGCGGATGAAAATGAGAGCAAAATGAAATTTGAACGGTGTATTTAAGTACGATGTGTAGACCACATATAATGTGTACACCACGTAATGCTATTTTAGCCAATTGAGGCCGCCTTCGCTGCGCTCGGCAGCCAGTAGAATGCGCGTAGTTGCGTTACATTTATTAACCCTATTCATGGCTAAAAGTGCAATTTTTGCATAGTCAAGCTGAGTCACAAAGATAGGTGCAGTCGAAAGGATGGGAAGATATAGTACGGAACAGGTGGAGTGTAGCCATGCGTGGGGAAATGTTCATGCTAACAAACAGGCCCGTAACGGACGGACGTACGGACGCACACCACACTCCACTAGATGGGGTAGACTAGCCGTTCGCCGCCGCTACGCGGCGGAGTGGCATGGTTTGTTGGAGCTGTGGTTTTCAGTTTTAAGTGCTTCGTGGTGTCGCGTGTTTTGTGAGCGTCGTTCACCCCAGTAGATCTTGGCTTCGTGTACTTAATCACTTACCAGTCCGTTGTCTCATTTGAACCCGTGTAATATCCTTGTTTGGTACGCTTCCGTTACCCCGTACTACAGGTTGGATGTCATGTTCTACAGTGGCCGGCGCTTTCCCGTGATTTTCCTGGCTTCGTGGTTCCCTGCTCACCCGTGGCCCACGCTGCTTAGTGTTTGTCCTGGATTTGCGGACTCATTCTCTCACAGTGCTTAGTGGTTGTGTGCTAGCCTTTTTGGTCTCATGCGCTCCCGTAGTACGACCCTCTTTCGTGGCTGCTAGATATTCCGTGTTCTCAAGGGTTTACGTGGATTCCACAGGCTTCGTGTCCATAATCATTCATGGTCGCGTTCCATTTCTGGTACTCTCGCCAATGAGTGATATTCCGAAGTTTTCTGTCACCTGTGTGCCGCGCACCCCTGTGGTGGCTCCACCTACCGCGTTATCGCGCCATCGTGCAATCGCAATGTGGTTATGCTGTCTATGCTATCGTGATCGCATAATATATGTGTTTTGCCAATGTTATCGCGTTCTACGATGGTTCCGTGTTCCGCGTTGTGCAATCGTGGTCTCCAGAAGCGTTTCCCGCGATTTTTTGGCTGGTCGGCCGTCCGGGTTAACGTGTTTTAATGAAGTATCGTCCTCAGTGGCCCGGCGATCTCAAGTTCTACTGTGCTATCGTGCTCAGTGGCTCGGTGATTTCCCGTGGCTGTTTGTTCTCCCATGTATTAGTGGCTGTCCCATAGTTTATGCTATCGTGCTATCTCTTGGTGTCGCGGTTGGTCTGTCGTCCAAGCTTTCGCTATCTACAGTAGTATCGCGCTCCCCAGTGAGCTCCGGCT